GTCATGGTCAGACAATATGAAAGCAAAATGGTTGTCCTGTCAGACTGTCAGTTCCCGAAACCTGAATAAAAAAAACTTGTAAAAGCACACAACCTGAAAAAAAAAAAAAACTTGTAAAAGCACGCTCTGCACTGTGATTGAATGTTTACAAGCACACAGGTGCTTGTAAAAGCACACAGGTGACCGATTCACCCCACCTCTTAAAATTGTGGGAGGATCAAACTGTGGGCCCTACCCAGGACATATGAAAATAACCTTTATTGTCATTTAAACAACTATTTTTCTCCTTTGCCGCATTTTTCTGACGTTGCTAAAAGAATCTACCTTTACAGTAGCGAGATCGGGGTTTCACAGAGTCCGCTTCACTGTCCAGGCGCCTCAGCATCAAGAAGATCAAGACATCCTCATGGTACAGAACAGCTTAAAATAGCTGTGACCGTATGTCAAAATAGCCATGACCATATGCCGCTAAAGTTAGACCAGACCGCAGCTAAGTGGATTAAAGAATGAGAGCATTTATGAATATAACGCTTCAGATGGAGAGGCCAGATGAAAAAGTGACAGTGAGAAAAGCAAGGGGGGAAAGAAGAAAAAGTATCAAAGAAGAAAGCAGGCAATCAATTATTCAGTGTAACATCTGTGTTTTTTAGCAACGCTAACTCTGTGGTATCCATCCCACTGGATTCACTGTTCATCTTCGATGTATGTAAGAGAGTGCTGTTTGAGCACAGACGTTTGTATGTAGTGCAAATCGCTAAATCTTTCTGGCACTCATGAGTTTCGATGTAGCAGAGTTTAGAATAAAACTTTCTGCATTCCTGCATCTTCCTCTTCAAAGCCAAATCAATCATGTTGGGATAATTTGTTCTCGCTTTGAAGTTAGGTAGGTTGTGTAGAAGAAGCTCTAAACTTGAGTTTTGTTCCTCAGCAGGAGACATTCCCCCTCAGTAGAAAGCATTTCAACAAATAGCAAATATCCTCAGGTATTCACTTGGGATAGGATGTGAGAAGTGATACAAATGCAGAGTTTTGCAGCTACGCACTGGGAATGACAGTCAAGAACGGGGAGCGACGATATAGATCATACAAAATGGAACAATTCTTCTCAGCACACAATAATTTACTGTAAGATCGCGTACCGTATTCATTTCCCTCTAAAATCTTGCGAAGATTCTATGCCTTTCTTAGACCTAGACCACATATCTGGGTTTTATGCGTTTCTGCCGTTTATCCACTCAAAAGCTCAGTTTAGTAACACTTATTTATAAAAACTCAGACCAAAGTGGATATTTGAGAAAACGTGGACATGAAAAATTACAGTCTGCGTCCAATATGCGTCAATATCCATGTACTTGTTTTGTCAAGACTCCCAATCAACATCGTCCACATTAAATCCCATTAAATCAAATTCAGGTTTGTTGATCTGATAGGACAAAATGCAATAGAATAGCTCAGGAGGGCATTTAAGAAGAACCTTAAAAGTAAACACGAACAGACATCCTAACCACTCTGACCAGTGAAATGCCATTTCATTCAAGTATAATTATAAAGTGGTTGTAAGGCAACCTTCCAGCTGGACTTGAACTCCCATACCCCTGGTGATTTGTATCTGACTGCAAGTTATGTCATCGCTCTTCCACTAATTTCATGGATTTACTCACTCTGCTTTGCTATGGGGCCCCGGAAGCATGTGTCACTATTTTGTAGCCAATTAATTTTGCCCCATCCGGCATCCCGTTATGTCAACCGGACGAGCCCTCTCTGGATCGAGTGCTCGGCCAGATGGCATCCTACCAGCAGGACATATGATTGCTGATGTCACATTGAACCTGATATAATGTTTGGTGGCACTTTGCCCAGATTTTCCTCAGTGAAACGAAGAGGGCATCGTTTTTCTTGTAAGAACTGCCACTGGAGGGCCATTTATGAGTGTCTACTTTACAAAAACTGCGCCCAACAACATCATACAGTTGCACGTTGGCAATGTGGTACTTGTCCAACAAGCTGATATCCAGTGTCAGCTTGACTAATCACTAAAGCTAAACTAATCAGTATATCTCTACACCTGGTTTTTATGGGCTGAGTATTTTAAGAAGAAACATGAGGCCTTTTATTCACAACATAACAAAATTCAAATGTTTTTAAAACGACTGCGGTGCTCTTTAGTCTGAACATGATAAGGTTAGAATAACATGCAACACCAAAGACCACTTCTGTCTGAAAGGCTACTTTCTCTCCTGATAGTCCTTTTTCTGCCTTTTGCCTTTTATTTAGAGGCTTCCACTTAGTATTCATACATATCTCAACTGGTGGGATTTAACACACGCAATTATAAGTAAAAAGCATCAAATGCAATCATATTGAGCAGCCTAAGTGGGATAAATGGAAGGCTGGTGTCTGCTGTTAACATTAGAGGAAAGTACCGCATAGACAACAACCATGCTGAGCTCAAGAAGATTAGCTTCAAATCTGAACGCAGTTGGATTCAAAGAACTCAAAACTCTGTTTCCCCCACCCCCCAGTTAAAACTGAATATTAAAAGTAAAATTCTGCAGAAAAACAGGAAAGCGTGTCGTGATCTCGCTCCCCTGCTGAACTGCAGATGCCATCAGATTGACGGGCATCGTCTGCGAGAGCTACAGAGATCCGTGGCGTGTAGATGGAACCATGCTGAAGAGCATATGCCTCGGCGAGAGAGGCACATGCTGATTGGTGGAAACAAGGCCAGAGATGGCAGCCATGACATCACAGCAGTTTATATGTATGTAGCAGAGTGTGAGGAGGTTAGGCATGAAAACGTGCTCATTTTGAGTCCAGGCTTACTGGAAGACAGGCGGTGTTTTCAGAAGATCTTATCGGGTTCGCTTCGTTTCAGGAGAGAGAGAGCAAATAAGACATAGAGGAAATGGGGTTAAAAGACAGTGAATTGGGGTTGCAGTGATGCATCTTTTAACTTATTCCATCTCTCACCATTGGTGTGTTTCTACCCTATATTACAGTTCTCTTGGGTTTTGTTTCTATTGCTTTCCTCTGAGTAAAACATGATCACAGAAGAATCATGTCAAAGCCAGTTGAGTTCATGAAATGTGGGCTTCCAAGGCAGAACGTCATAGTCTTCATCTTCTGGCGCGCCTTAAAAGAAATGCCAAAGTAAATCAAATAACCTTGTTAGGAGGCAGTGGTAAGTATGTTAGCGTCCTCACTTTGATTTCTCCCAACTTTAATCAAACTATCAAAGCTCTTCAGATGTTGAAAAACTTGAGTTTTTCCAAATTGATTTTAAATTTTGTGGAGGAAAAAATTACGGAAAGGTAATTATAGTTGAAGCAACAAACCAATCAGTGGTTAAACATAATCACTCAGCTTTTCACTTGATGAGTGTCTGGGCTATCAAATGTTAAAACAACGTAAAGTGAGTCTAGATTTTCTATGATGTACGATCTAAAAATTACACACAGTAGATGCGTTGCACATATTGGAATTATGGAAATAAATCCACTCGATGGAAAGATGCCAATTGCAGAAAAAAAACTCATTTTTTTATTTTTATAAAAAGTCTTTTTCACAAAACTACAAAGGAATCACTTTTTTTGCATCACATACATGACATGATCAACAACCGGACGTTGCTACCAATGGAAACGACAAAGACGGCAGGAAGTGGTGGGAGGATGATGGCGTGGCATGATTTCTAATTTTAATGGAGCTTCTTATTTAACGAAAACGCCACAATCGTGAAATTGAGTTTTTTTCGTCGACCTTAGCGATAAAGCCGTGCAAATACATTGCAATTGAAAACCATGAACGTTGGATTGTCCATTGACAATTTGCACTGTCAATATTTTGCGGTAATACATAAAAAAGTCATCACTGATTGGTCATTGAGCATCTTGTTTGGTCTAACCACCAGAAGAACTTTAGGGATGCTATTTGGTTAATTCAAACACAACTTCTTAATATATTTTTATATTTTCAGATGTTAACAATACAATAACCATAAATCTTTTCTAATAATTTCAGTTCAATTCTGTCGGTTTATTACAGTTTTCAGAGCAGACTCATTGTCCAAACCGAAATCTTTTGCATTTTGGAAAAAGAACAAAATCACATTGATTATTGATTATTCCAGCAGATTACTGCAGCAATACTGACGGATAGACACAAGTGTGACTTGAAACCACTCTCATTACAAATGAATTACCATCATCATCAAAATTATTACCGTCAGGAATATTGTTGCCATCTTCAGAAGCTGTAACCGGAACAGCAGCAGGTGTAAAATATGGAAATGTCAGCAGTCACAACAGTATCTACGATAATGGAAACAAATCCGGTGAGTACATTGTCCATATTCCAAAAATGTCCCGCCCGAGACCCTCCGCTCAGAAGTTCCCACAGACATTTAACTTGAGGTGATTGATCCATTTTCTATCCAAGTAAAAATCAGACAACTAGAAATAAACACCCACCCCACCACCTGTTACCAAAGTCTGAAACCAGTCCTCTATTCAGACCAAACCAGTAACAGTTCACACAAACAAAAAGTATTCAGGTGCAAGAAAAAGAGTCATTTGGGAGAAAGGTGCACATTTGTTCTTATTTATTTTTAGAATTTCTTCCCCCCCTCCCCAGGCATAATATTTGAGGTAACAGTGATTGCAGTGAGCATCTCAAGTCCTGCACATGGTCCCTCTGCAGGACATTCTGAGCCCAGAGACTTTCACTGCAGAGGAAAACATGATTTCAGCAGGGAATTCAAAAAGAGAAAAGAAAAAAATATATATATTTATATATCCCTGCACAAAAAAAGCTGTTGCGCATTGCCATCAGGCTGAATTAAAATCCTGTACCAAACCACTGCATCGTCTCAAAAGTGCGTCGGGTGTCCGCGGGAATTCATTAGTCGCGCGCGGCTCAAAATGAAGCGCCTTCATGTCGTCGCGTGTCGGTCAGAAGACATTTCAACCCGTCCGACCCCCACAAACACTTCATCCTCTTACCTATGTGGCTGATCAGAAGCAGCTGGCAGATGCACACAGCGGTTCTCAGAGCCGTAGAGTCCATGGTGTCGATGAGCTCAACGTAAAAAAAAAAGCCGGGAGAGGAAAAAACTAAATTGTTTTTCGTTTGTTTAAATAAAAAAAGAAAAAGAAAAAGAAAAGAAGCGTATCGGATGCGCTAAGAGGTCATCGTTGAGCCCGTCCTCTTGTCAGTGGGACGGACTCGACACAGACTGGCTCAGCTCGGCTTGGTTCTGCTGGGTTGGTTTGAGGAGAGCGGGCTCGCGCGCGCCGCCCGGTTGGTTGGTTGGCTGGACGGTTGTTGCGGACTCGCGCGCTCTTCACGTATATCGCATTAAGGAGACGGACGGCGCGCGCGCCGCCCACCGCCTTGAACGGAAATGAGCGAGTCGCTCCTGTAATGTGCGGCTGATCTTCCTGCAGGGACCCATTTATCTGCAGCGGCTGGGGCTCACTGGCTGCCTGTTAGAAATACACTTGATATTATAGCACACAGATGGATCGTTGCACTTCTTGTTGTTTTTTTGGCATATATATATATATATATATATATATATATTATATATATATATATATATATATATATATATATATATATACGTATATATATATATATATATATATATACGTATATATATATATTATATATATATATATATAATATATATATATATATATATATATATATATATATATATATATGCGTGGCTTATATATACGTGGCTTGTGTATATATATTATATATATATATACATATATATATATATATATATATATATATATATATAGAAAGAGAGAGAGAGAGAGAGAGAGAGAGAGAGAGAGAGAGAGAGAGAGTTTATCTGTAGAGCACATTTCAGCAACAAGGCAGTTGAAAGTTTTTTACATCATAAAAACACAAAAATAAAAAATTTGAAAAAAAAAAACATACAATGACCAATTGAAAAATCAGTAACAAATGTTCAATTTTGAGCGCCATGATCAAAATTGTCAATTCACATCAAATGTGTCGCGCAATGTTCCAACTCTAAATAGCTGGGTTTTCAACCGTGATTTAAAGGAACAGAAGCTCCTGCTAATGGCCTACTGGTGGAGGAAGAAACGCCCTGTGGAGAAGGAGCTTTTGAGAACTGAGATCGGCTGAAGTTTCCTTGAATTGAGCTCCATCCGTCTTCACATCAACTCCAACAAGTTTTCACCGCCGTGCGGAGGTGGAAGGTTCAGGGTCACATGTAGTGTCAGCCTTCAGCATCTATGCAATGTTCTGCATGAAGGTCAAAAGGTCTCGTCTCAGTCTCCCCCGACCAGAGCACACTCTTCCACAAGTTTGCTGCCTCGGCTGCTTGGCTTGTGGGAACCTGGAAAACTCAAACGCAAGAAACTTTTTTTGATCCATCTTTTATTTAGGAAGCGCAGCATTGTAATTTTCCACAGAACCAAACAAGACGGCATCAGTGCTCCAGGGTGTCACCTCAGGAGGGTAGAACAGCCACGGCAGAACGGTAATACGACTTCAAAAATACCTTCAAACTGTCTGAAAAACTGAAACAGAACCACATGAAGATGCAGGAATGTGAGCCAAGAGGACCTGAATCAATGTGGGCTTTTTGTGATGAGAGTGAGATTTGGCAGCGGCTGGACTTCAGGATTTCCCACGAAGTTCACAGTTGTAGGTTGCCGGGTGTTTGCGGGGTGCATGTGTGTGTCTTGTGAGAGAGAGGGAGGAAGGGAGCGCGTTTCCACAAGCAATCAACAGGTTTCACTGGTGCAACAGGGCCACGACTGATGGGAGCTTGGATGCGTGTGTGTGTCTGTGTGTGTCTGTGTGTGTGTGTGTGGGGGGGGGGTGCAAGCCTGGGTCGCACAATGACACAAGGCTCTCATTACTCTGTGTGCATCAATTAGCATACATTAAAAGAGATAATCCCCTTCAATTCACACGGGAGCCTCGTCTCATTTGTTGGACCAACTTTCTTCTTTTTTTTCAGACGCTCGTCTGGCAATATCCTCTCTGGCTCTCAGCTTCCGGGTGCAAGGCATCGGCCCCGAAAGCACGTTTACGGCTCATGAAAGGGAACGTGGCTTGTAACACATTGATGGCAGCTATGGAGTGTATACGGACATGAACCGATGAGAAAACTCTTTGACAAGTCTGCAACGCCTCGCTTGTCAAACATTTGGACAAGAAAACCTTGTCTGACATGACAAGGTTATACACTGTTTATGGAACCTTATATTATATGTCAATTAACGTGGTTTACAATCCCAAGGATTGCCATCTATTGTCTGTTTCTCGTTGCTGATGCCTCAGCTTCCCTTACTTGTGTGTTCCCTGCATTCAGTGACTTGCTCGCTCCTTCTCGATGTGCTCGGGTTTCGATCACCAGTGGCAAGACTTTTTGACAATTTGGGCAAAACAGGAAAAAGTTCAAGATGCGTGAGAAGGCTTTTTGTTAAACGAAAGAGCCGACGGTTAGAGTCGACGCCGAGTTGGGATGAAGAAACATATGTTGCCGTCTCCAAGCTGCCCTTACCTCCAGTTGCGGCGGAAAACTGATTGTCTTTTTTCTGAGCTCTCAGGTTTCTATAGATTAAGGATCCTGTGTTGCCACTGCCTGTTCTCTCTCTGATTGTGCAATCAAACCACAACTGGGACATGGTCAATAACTCGATGGCTCTCAGTTCAGCTACCTGCAGTGGGCTTTCGAACAAGTCGGTTCTGGATTGTCAGTATTTAGTGTCTAAGATACTGCTTACTTTTCAAGGTGGTCAAGAATATAGAAATAGTGCAAAACTCTCGTTGTGTCTGTGTGATCCTATGCATGTGTGTACATGTTGAACCCGTGGTGAAAGGACAATACAGTGGTATTGACCTCCAGCGGTGCCAATCGGAGGTCGGTATCCTGGACACCACCGGGCTGACAAACACTGGTCGATGTGTGTGTGTGTGTTTATTGGTGAGAGCGGTGCTGCTGGCAGGTCAATGGCTGCTGTGGAGCAACAACTCTCCATGCGCTCATTAGTCCAGAACATATGTGGCATTTGGATCAATACTGCAGCTAATTATTGCATACAGTGTGTTTGCTTGAATGGTGGCAAACGTGGGCCAATATTTCAGAATTTTAAATGAGCAGTCTTATGTAAAACAGATTTTCTTCTCTTCTATTATTATTTTTTTTGGCTTTTCATCATGTTATAATGTTATTCTCTCATCAAAAACATACCTGGAGTGTTGCTTTAACTCTTTCATGCATGTTTGTAAAAATCCTTCAATCTCCATGGCAACCGTTCAGCTCTGGTGGACGTAGCTCCACCTTTGAGACACAGCTCCTCAAAGGTGGATCTGCAGTTGCCAGTCTTCTGAGCTTCTGCCTTCCAAAGCAGTGACTCCCCACTCAGCTCCTTCAGACTAGCCATCAGCAATTAGCAAACACCTGGTGGCATCTGTTGAGCTCACTGTGGAAGTGCAGCTCTGGTAAAAACGTTAAAGGGTTCCTGGAGGAGCCATGTTGTTCTGACTTCCTGAGGGTGGAGTGTCAAAAAGAGCAGGGGTTTCTTAAAGAGACATTGGCCCAATTTCAAGAGGCTAAATCACAAAGTGAACCTTCTGGTAAGTTAAATTTGATACATTCAGTATTTTTATAACAACCAAAGGCAGCATAGCTACTTGATTGTGCTATAAAATGGCACCATGTGTCTGGAAAACACATAACACTGCCCCTTTAACACAGACAGAACTGAGGTGTGTGTAAGTCTTAGCTGAAAAGTTTGCATTTCTTGCCATATTAGGACTTTACATGGTCTTCCATTCACTTTATTAATTCCACTTGTACCTAACAAAAACACTTTTCTAAATCCCAGGCATCCAAATTGGGGTCTGCCATATTAGGATCAGACTCATGATTAGGCCCCTAGAGCCTACCGGTTTTCAGTAGCTTGGTGAAAATATCAGAAAAGGTCCAAAAGATACAACATAGATGAGTCCACATGCACACACACACACACACACACACACACACACACACACACACACACACACACACACACACACACACACACACACACACACACACATAAATTCACATCCCTAAGAGTGTGTTGGATCTGTAGTTTCAATGGTGGGTCTCCTTTGACTTCTCATGATTATACTAATTACAAATCCAAAAGCTTTGGGTGAAGGAGTTGGTCCCTAAATGTCAGCCTCAGGCTTTGAGGAAAAGAAGCTGGAGCACAAACACCCTGACCTCATTAGGCAGCCACTAATGGCATGGCCCCCATCTCTCTTCCAGAGAACATGAGGTGGTTTTGTGTTTCAGAGATTATTCATCTTCTGCGTTTGTCTCGTTGGGGTCTTTAACCCCTGGTAAAGATGGGGCTGCTAAGCAGACCCCACCTTAAGCACAGCTCGGGTTGTCTCACTGTCATGTGACAGTGAGACAGTGGTGAGATGTGCAGTGGGAGCAAAGCGACAGAAGTGGTTATGGCTTCAAAACATTAGGTCTTAAATTTTTGCATGTGTGCGCAACAAATCCGTAGGGAGGTCAGCAGACGGAGCGAGGCATGAATAGAAAAATGAGGAACTCTGTCAACTCTTTCAAACACACACAGACCCACGCATACATGAGGCAGAACACACTCTTCTGTGAAGTGGGTGAGCGCCTCATCCCTCCATTTGTGCGCGTTTGTGTCTTTTTTATTCCCCTCTGACAGTGGAAGCCCACAGACAGGGATGGATTGCTGCTGGGCTCCATGGCAACCAGTGGGGCTATTCTCAAACACTGCAGCTGAGGGAGGGACCCAAGGAGTTCATCAGCAACGCACATTTTCTCTCTGCCTTCACGCGCGGTCTTATTATGCAGACATGTGTGGTTATTAAAACTTTGCTCTGCCTTCACATTGTTGCGGCGTGAAGATGTGCTTCTCTTCTGGCTTGATTCCAGTTGGTTAACTTCAACTCTTTCACATCTGGACAAGACAAGTGGAAATTGTTTTTTACTTAACAAATAGACTCTCTGTTTACAATCAAGTCTTATAAAGTCTGTTTCTTAACTGTAAATGTTGATTTTAAACATGTTTTTTTCATTAAATCAAGAAAATGTGCGCCTCAACAACACCTAAGAGTCTAAATATTCACTGGTTCATCTGACCTGGTTACTTTTTTTAGCAATAATTTGACTGTGGTTTCACTTCGCTATCAATGAAGACAATTTAAATATAAACATATCCAAAAAGAGGGCAAAATAAAATCCCATATATAGTATATAATGCTTTTACAAAAGTGAGAAACAAGCTGAAATGATTGCACAAAGAAAACATTTTGCTGAGCATTACGGTAATAAAGTAGCCCGTGAAATAGAACTATGTTGAAATTAAGTGTTTCCATAAAAAAAATAGTCAAATAAAATCCAGTTGTTTTCCCCAAAGATAATTGAACAACGCTCAATTTCCGTGGTCAAGTTTTGTTGTGCAACAGCGACATCACCCGGCCCGACCACGCAACTGCACGCAGACGTCACTATCGTGCGACGAGGAAGCGCTGCTGTTGTCGCGCTTGTCCTTTGCGTCCTCCGTCCACTTCATGTCGTAACAACAGCGCTACGCGTTGTTTCTGAGGCTAAGCTGTGGTAATTGACTTTTTAATGGAGTGACGAGGAGAGGGGAAAAGAAGTGGGTCGGAACCGCGGAGTCGTCTTTTTGCTTTTTAGCTTTTTATCCGGTAAGTGACAGCGCAGTTAAACAGGCGGCCGACAGTTTACTCTCTTCTTCTTGTTGTTGTGTTGTTCTTCTTCCCCCAAAGTACATTTAATCAGAAAGTAGTTTTAAAAATCCGTTTGAATTGTGACAGGAAGCCGTTTCTCTTTCAGCAGTTCACCCAGGCTCTCCTGGTCGGGAATGGCAGCTCCGAACTCGGAGCAGAGGAAGGCCTGCTGGGACGCCAGGGATCTACTCTGGCGATGTTTGGACGACAACAGTGACAGGATGCAGCCCTGCCAGCTGTTCCAGGGAGACTTCGAGGCGAAATGTCCAGCTCAGTGGGTAAAGTTGCCTCCTAGTTGTTGTTGTTTTTTTAACCATCTGTCCTGGTCGACCGGTCTGAGACGCTGGAAAACTCAGGAAATACCGAAATCTCTTTAAGAGATAATAAACATTTGCTTCTCATTTGAAGTTGTAGAGAGATGAATTAGTAGTTAGAGCCCACTTGTTTTTTTTTCCTTTCTGATTGTTTCAGATTGTTAGCTGTCTGCTCTTTCCAACACTTTCTCTAAACTCTGATCTTAGAATGTTTTGCAAAATTTCAACTCCCCACATATTAAAACTTTGCGACAGGTTGCTGCTGCAACTGGCCCCGCCCCCTTCAAGACAGCTGGCCCTCTCATTGGATGTAAGATTAGGGTTTTTTTAATATCCTGGCTTTAAATTTGGGACCAGTCTGTTGGAAGCCGCCATCTTTTATGTAGCATTTTGCTAAATTGAGAATAAGCTGACTTGGCATCAGAATCTGCAAAACAAAGTATGAGGAGACAGATGGATCGGAAGTCTGTGAGATCCAAGTTGATCACAGTTTGAATTGTCTTTCCGTGCCAAAGACTCAAATGGCACTTCAACGTTTGGACACCGGATATGCCGACGGTCAAATACACAGAATGACTTCCTGTTTGCCTCCCGTTTCGTCTCTTTAATTTCTCCCCGTCTCTTCCCGGCAGGTGAAATATTTCACCAAGAGGAGAGACTTCCTGAAGTACAAAGAGAAGATGGAGACGGAAGGCTTCACACCGGCTAAAGGCCCACAAGTAAACTCATAACTCCTACCAGAGAGGAACTCTGGAGACTCACTTTTAACCACATGAACTCCTGTTTTTGTTGCGAATATGAAAACACCTCACCTTTACCATTATTTATGTGAGAAGGTTTGAATCCTAAGAGTTGCACAACCTGGCAAGTTATTGGACAATGTTCCTTAGAATTACTTAAATAATGTTTTGTTTTTGTTGGTTTTTTTTTTTCTTTTACAAATTGGTCTTAATGAAAGATGAAGATCAATGGAATCCACCCGGAAGTGGCTGTGCAGTTTGTGTAACCGGATCAACCGTTTCTGTGGCAGAGCATTTGAGATTCTGGATTATGACCACTGTGAGAAAACGTCAACATTCGCTATTATTTTGGAATAAATCAAGACCAACAGGGTGATTTTGATGGCTTTTATTGTCGTACATGTGTATTGTTTTCTAACTCTAGTGCATAGGTGGATATGAAAACCCTTTCAGGATAAAACAGCTGATTTGAGAATGTTACAGGTCATTAGAAACGAGGAAAAAAACAAAACACATTGTGTTTATATTACAAATCAGTGTGTATTTACAAAGGAGTGTGGCCTTCGGGTCAATGGTCTTCAATGAAACCATTGCTAGAAACGGGGTTCCCACATGCTGGAGTTTGATACAAGTTCTTGGTGTCGAATGTATCCGTCAATCTGTCCATTTTTCATAAAGCCGTCCCTTTGTCCGGTCAGTCCATTCGTCCTACTTTTCATACACCGATCAATCCACTCATCACTTCGTCCAGCCATTCATCTGTCCATCTGACCAGTCGTCCCGTGATTCAACAATTCCTCCTTTTCGGTCACTCATCTCCCAAACTGGCCATTTATCCATCAATCATCCCTCTGCTCATGCTCAGGTCGTCATCTTTGTCCATCATCCTTCACATTTAGAAGTTTCCATAGCTTGATCTTTGGAAGTACCACGTTTGAAATGGACCTGATCAAGAACTTCTTTGGAGATGAAATTTCGACCCTGTCAATATGTAGGAACCCTGTAGAAATCTACAAACCACAAGAAAAACTGTAGCTGTATTCAGACTTCTAAGGCCTCTGGCTGTACAAAACAGTCACAAATGACATCTCAAGTTTGTATTTTTCTGTGAAAATATAAAGCATTTCTTTTGCATATCTGCTCAGTACAATGGAGAGTTTTGCATAAACCTTTTCCACTTTGCCACCATGAGAGTTATTGTGATTTATAGTTATAGTGGATTGAACTATTGCACAATACAGTCCCGTACTGAGTCCATTCAGCAAAGCTTGAATGGACTCTGCTGCCTCACATAAATTCTCCTCTTGCACATAATCCAGTCATGTACTTCCTACAACTTGGGAAAAAAAAAAAAAAAAACGGAGCTAATCCAACTACCGAATACTTCTTTCTCCCTGCGATCTTAAGGACATTGAGATCTGACAGACAAAAATACGACAACAAAAAAGCAAAGTTTCAAGATCACTTTTAGCAAAGAATTAAGGATCACTACTGGAAATACATTCTTTTCTTAAGCAGAGTAAACACTGTGCCAGATTTAAGAATGTAAGCCGTGAACAGAGGTTTTCCAACATCACAGTAAGGCACCAATGAGCTTAAGGTTTGAATCCAGGTTTAAAACAGGCAGCCAACATTTTTGCATTCCAGGCTTGATGCACAAAAAGCATTTCTAGATGTTTTGAATAAAACAGGAAGCAAAAGAAAGAAAAAAATAGGCATTTGGTGCAAAGCAAAGCTTCAAATCAGCTTTACAACCTTTGCAAAAAAATGATTGGTCACATGATAAGAAGCCCTGGTTTGTGTGGCAAATTAGAGTTTATCCACACATACAAACAGAAGAAGAAAAACATTTGGTCATATGTCGTCGGTTGACTACACTCACTGGGAAAAACAGTCGAGATCCAAGTCAAGCATTCAGACGACATAATTTGCGCAGATTAGTGATGGTCAAAACGGGTCAGCTACCTTTCCATTTCTGCCTTCAGTCCAGCTAAATAAAACTCAGAACTGCAAGTGCAACATGACCTTTAAAAAAAAAAAGACGCCTTATGATTTTTGGAAAACATTATGTTTGATCGTACTGCAGTTTTAATGCAATGCTCAGAGTTGCGCAGCAGATGTCACGGTCAGCAGCAGGGAAGTGGGAGGTTTGTCCGGTCAGACCGTCATTTCCCAAAACAAGACACGCACAAAAAGAGAAAAAACTTGTAAAAGTGCATTCAAGCTTAGTATGTCTCTTAAGACTAAGAGGACCACAGTTTATTTGTCGTTTTAAGATGAAAAAAAAGAAAATATTATGGCTACTGTTAGTGTCATTCTGTTGTAAAAATTTATTACTGAGAAAAAAAAACTATTAAAACCTCATTTAAAACAGTAGAAACTTTTATTTAAAAACAATGACAAAATTTTGGTTCTTTATTTTTGTTACCCAAAGTATTAAGAGCCATTGTGGAAGGTCCAAATAACCACTTCAGACTCTGGAGCCCCAGGTTCCAATGCCCTGAGTGGACAAGTGGCAGCGTCCCAATCTGAGCGATTGTGCTACAGGCAGATAACTAATCACTAACAACAAAATGGTGAGTGAAGATCACAGGAGTAGGAAAGAAAAAATGTAGGACAATTTCTGAAGGCTAAGTCCAATAATAACAGCTCCAGCGTTTTGAGTTGTCCATCAAAAGCAGCATCTCCAACTCTCAGTAAATTTGGACATTTGGACTACAAGGGAGCACCAAATGCTAAATATTTCCAGCAGCTTAGCTCATTTTGAGTTGAGTGTTTGCAATCATCGGCGTTAATTCCGTCTGTTAAACTTGTTGCTGGCTTCTCAGACATCTTCGCTAGCATTGCAAGTAGCAGGACTGTGAAGTTAAAAATGTCAATACGACTAAGACAGAACTTCTTGGTCTTCACAATGAAAGGCTAACAATTAATTGTGAACTTGCGACGAAAAAAACAAAACATTTCAACCTCATTCGAGAGCTTACAGTACCTGATCTAGTGGTAAAAAAACGCATGAATCAGAATGCTGGTGTGTTGTCAGTTCAGATTTAACTAGCCTGCATCATAATTTCATGAAGGTTAAAAACTGTTGCTGTTGTTACGTCTGTACTCCAGACAGATGATGCCTTTAACGCTCCACCGTACTGCCTGCAGCACCATCAGCTTTTGCGAACGAATCACCAGAGTGTTAAAGGTCAAATTAATCACACACCCGCCACAGTATTACGCCAGTTTCTTCGGGGTTGTTCCTCTTTACCGTTTTGATCAGTGAGTGTATTGATACAGTACATCCGTAGCCACAGTCGAAACCTCGCTTTAACCGGTTAGCCGCTGCGCTACGCTACCATGCACATTTAGGTAAAGCGTAAAAGAGGTTTCTAACAAGTGGCTAGTTAGCTTATTACTATCGCAGCGTTTACTACAAGAGTACAACGAATACATTAAGACATTTCATTCATAGTGGATTTGTAAAAAAAACAAAACAACAAAAAACAAACAAATAAAAAAACGTCTCAGTTCTGTTATATATTTGAAGTATCGACATGATGTGAGCTCTTAATTTGCCTCAATTAGCTTTCTAATTTGTATTGCTTCATTGAAAGAATCAGTGTCTTCGTAGCAACAGAGGTAAAGTTAATCTGTTGAAGTTTAGTTTCCCCCCCCAGAGCGACCACAATATGGCCGACTTAAACTGAAGCTAATAGTCTAGCTAAGCTAGCATTCTGCCGTTTTCTCTCGTCTTCCTTTCCGTAAGGCCGGCTCTCTCTGTCTCTTTCTGGGTAAGACGATCCTTTTGACTCTGTCATGTTTTGTTTTTGTCATAAAAACTCTTCTCTTTCTAATTTCACCCCCCCCGGCCTCCACCCCTCTCTCCTGGCTCGGGCCTCAGCCCGGCGTTGGTTATAAACCTCCGGTGACGTTCCTGGCCACCGCCCAGGCGGGGAACTCGGTCAGGTTGAAAAGCGGGACGCCCCAAGTGGTGATGGCCAACATAACCACGGCGACGCCGATCAGGTTCACCCCAAACCCCGCTTTCACCTGGATGGGAAGATTACAGAGCACACATGAACTGACCTGAAAAGACCGAAGGAAAAAAAAAAAAATAAAAAAGAACAGGAACATTCAGTTCTAAAAGGAAACAAAACAAATCTGAAGCCGTTTGATGCTGCAGATGCACTGAGAGTGTGTGTGTGTGTGTGTGTGTGTGTGTGTGTGTGTGTGTGTGTGTGTGTGTGTGTGTGTGTGTGTGTGTGTGTGTGTGTGTCAGAGACCTACCATGTCGCTGATCTTCACGTGGCCGTAACTGAAGACGATGGCGTTGGGGGGGTTCCCCACTGGAAGCATAACCCCAAATGACACGCACATGGTGGACGGGATCAGAGTGTGGAGGGGGTTGATGAGCAGGGTCTCTGACTGGACCGAGGGGTGAAGAACAACACGGATACAGTGAGGGAACATTACAGTGGGGGGGGGGGGGAGAGTGGCTGTCGGTTGGAGATCAAACAGAGGGAAGGAAAAGGAGGCAAGACAACGATAACATGATGATTGAAAAATTATTTAAGAATGGAGATGGGGGGGAATGAACGAGAGAGCAAGCTTTTATATTTTTAGTTAATTTCACAACAGCATTTATGAGAGTTCGACAAATCTCTGGTATTGATTATTTAAATGCAGGATGGTTGATAACTGAACATTATCTAGTGCAACCAAGAGTGCACTGTAATAAAAACCCTAACATTTCATCAATTATGTTGTATTTACTATGTTATTTTCAAGTTCTATCAAACATTTTGTGATTCTACAGAACAGGCAGGGATCTGGTGATAGATTTTTTTTCAGTGCTCTGAAGCGTTTGACTCTAACGTGACTAAACAAAAACTAAACAACTTTTACATGTGCCTCTGTTGCACCACCTGAATAGAATAATTAGGTCATTAAGGCTCTAGAGAACTGATCCACACAAGCAGGAGGTAATTAAGACGTTTCAGTCCGGTGCTTTGCAGGACAGCAGCCCTCCAGGACTGGAGTTTGACAGCTGAGTCTTGATGCAGCATTTTTGACGCGTGCGAAGTGGAGGACCTGACATACATACCAGAGCTGACAGGATGGGCAGGAACACTGTGAGAGTCGCTGGATTGGAGGCGAACTCTGTGACCGCCGACACCAGGAGGCAGGCCAGCAGGGTGACGGCCCAGGGCGGTAGGCCGCCCATGGGCTCCAGCTGCCTGCCGATCCACACCGACAGGCCCGACACCTGCAGGTACGGTTTATTAATGCCACAAACACAAATCTGGACCAATCGGGGGAGAGAATCAAACAAAAACACTGGGCTGACCGACAGGCAGAACTACACGATTTCTTTGGGAAGAGTTTGTACATGTTGTGATGCGTGTTGTTTTACCTTGCAGCCAGCCGCGAGCGCGTAGCCTCCTCCCACCAGGATCACGATCTCCCACGGCATCAACCTCTGGAAATCTTTCCAAGTGATCATGGGGGCCAGAGGGTCAGGATCGGAACCGTCTTCTGAAGGTTAAAAAAAGCAAAACACAAGAAACAAACATTACGTGAAGCTGATTAGTTAGTTTTTTGGGGACTTATTTGTGTAATTCCTTGCTGCATGTTCTTTAGGAAATTCTTTGGTAAGTTTTACTGCATAATTTACAACTGCTAAATAAATACACGTATGTGTTTTTGCTGTTCCACGGGAACCGACCCGAGTTACTGCAGCTGGGTGAGGAAGATGAGAAGGGACGCCTGGCGGGGATGAGGAAGAGCAGGAAGCCCAGGAGGACAGACACGGTCGCGTCGGTCCTGTAGCCCTTCCTGGAGACAAAGACGAACAGAAATCCGTCGCATCCCAAAGCGGTGCCAACAGGACGGCTTTCGCCGAGCGCGACCACAGAGGAGCCGCTTACTTCTCGAAGAGGGACGTCCAGCCGGGCACGAAGCCGGGCTCTCTGGTGAACCACAGCAGAGTCATCAGGATGAAGAAAATCCCCGTCACCACCTCGGGGTAGCTGCAGCGCAACCACAAGAAGCACGTCAGCAACTGTTGCGCCAGTGGGCGCGACCGCAGACAAGTTGGCAAAGGTTTTAACTCCTCGGTTTCAACAAGAGAATCGACTAAATGTCTTGCTGTGTCTTTTCGTGTAAGAGCAAGCAAACTAGGGGGGGGAGGGGGAATGCAGCATTTTAGCTTGGTTGGAATTACCAAAATTACTTCTGTTTGCCAGTTTTTCGAGAATTTGTTGCTTTTATTGAATTCAAATGTTTACAGACATTTGGTTGGTTTGGTTTGACTTGTGTCAAACATTTCACAGATTTCTCTGGCACATCTGAGTTCGCTAAATTCTAAGGTCACGCCTGAAACCAACTGCTTTCTCGCTTCTTGTCATTTTAAGTCGGCTAAAACAAGATAAGGTTTGGCTGGATTCAACTTCTGACAGCAGCATTTCTATTGCGAATGTGTCAAAACTTTGTCAACATTCTACTAATGTTAAAATAAATAAATTTTACATTTGCAGTGTTTCCATTAAATAAAAAAAAAACAAAATTAAAATCACATATGAATAAGCTTGTTCACGTGAGAAGTTGTTAAAAAACAAGCTGCTCTGCGATCCTCCAGCTACTTCCTGTTTTCTTCTTCTTTGTAGTTTTTGCCAGTGGCAACATCTGGTCGTTGATCATGTGACTTGTCTGACGTGAAAAACAGTGTTTCCATTGCAGTTTTGCAAAAGTAATAATTTTTTAAAAAACTCATCCTTTTTAATGAAAAGACTTTTTTTTTATTGCTGTGTTTCTATCAAGTGAATTTATTTATTTAAAAATGTCAAAATTGCACGACTGAAACACCGCTGGTGAGAAAAATGATATTTTTTATTCTGTAAATCAACTGAAAATCCAGCTGGCGGATCTTCAGCAAAACTTAAAAATTGGGCTTAAAAGAAACAATTAACTTTAACGTTTCTGAGCTACTTTGCGTCGCTTAAGAAAATAAAATCCCAATGAAAAAATAAATAAATAATTAAACCCAGAAGCCACAGCAGTCTTCCCGTCTGAACTCTGAGACCAGGCTCTCCGGTCACCTGATGGGGCCCAGCTTGGCATACTCCTCCTGGATCCGTTGCTCAGACATCACTTCTCTCCTGGTTTTGCGCTTCTTACTCAGCGAACACGTCTCTCTGAAGCTGAGCACAGAGACGGCAACAGCCTGAGTTACACACCCACGGATTAGCGTAATGATGGGATGCGAGAGTGAGCAACACTAATAATCACACACCTGGATGTGTGTGTGACCGTGAGCAGACAAAAAAAAAAAGAAAGAAAGAAAGAAAGAAGTGCGCTCACTTGCAGCCGAGGAAGAGGAAGTGCAGCCAGAGCCAGGTGAGGACCAGCATGATGATGGCTATGGGGAAGCTGAAGATGAACCAGGTGCCGAAGTTGATGACCTTCGCCTCCGGGTAACGACTGGAAAAGGGAAAACAATCCAGACAGAGAGACGGGGAGGGAACTTGTAGCGTTTTAAAAGGACAGGTGAGAACAAGCAGGTGTGTCGCATTTCAGCCGATATGAACGAAAAACAACAATTGAACCCCGAACCGCGTCACGGCCTCAGGTCTGCTGACACACTTTTGAGAGCAACTCTACGCATCCGTCACGAGTCTTGTTTTTAGCAAACAGTTAACTTTGTCAAAAGATTCCCGTTCCCGGAAATATACTCTTAGGATTACCTCTGCCACACACACACACACACACACACACACACACACACACACACACACACACACCCAACTGCGCGGAGAATAAAAAGCATGACCTTTGCCCACTGAGCTGTGACATGAAGGAGGCCATTCTGTGGGACTTAAAAACACTGGCTGGAGAAAATCGGCTCTATTAGGACTGTACAGGCTGATTAGTTTGATTTAAGACCCTTCATGGCCCCCGGGATCTGATTTCACACAGAGTGTTGAATCACAGCAAGGTGGCTGCCAAAACCAGCCGCACATGTGTTCGAAACCAAACGGAAAGATGGCGGCTCTGGTCATTATGAGCTGCTGTTACTGTAACAGCTTCTGTATTTGTTGAGCCTCCATGTTCGAAATATCAGGACACTTTGAATTTTGAAGTATTATAATTCATGCCTAAAGCACTTTTTAGGAAATCCTGATATAAAAATGTGCAATTTCAGAGAAATCTTTAAGTTTTGCAAAGTTCTCCATTACATCCCAGTCACACTTCTGCATATCTGCCTTGCCTAACCCGCACTCTCCCCTAAAACAAGAACAATTACTTTACTCTCTGTTTAACTCAGCTGATCATCATCATCTTCTGTAAACAGAACCTGGACCTACGTGTTGAACTGCTCGGCGAAGATGAGGTTGGTGGAAGTCCCGGTGATGGTGATCAGTCCTCCGATGGTCGCCGCGTAGGTGATGCTGAGCGACAGGCATTTGCAGATCATGTGGTCCCTCTTGGTGGGGTACTGGGAGTCTCTCCTGGCTCGCACTCGCTTCACGTTTGGGATCTCTATGGCAACCTGCAGAGGAATCGCAGGAAGGCGTCGACCGAATTCTACACTGCGGCTCGCGGTGGAGCCGCTGAGAGGAAGCGACGGCGTTTTGTCCCGGACCTGCGGTAGGTGTCCGTTGGTTTGTCGAACGAAAGTCTTGTTCAAGACGGGCTGGAGACCGAACCCGTTCAGCTCACCCGCCTGACCCTAAGGGGCGAAAGACAGATTTGACCAATTTATGTTTGTTATTATTTGATTCTTTTTCTCCATTGACCATTTTATATTTCCCACATTTTGTCAGATTACAACCACAAACTTTATGGGGCAGGTGAACACAAAGGTCATTTGGAAGGTGAAAGCAAACAGGATTTGGTTTGTAAATTTACATTCTAATAAAAACCTGGAGTGTATTTGCATTCAGCCACCTTTGCTCTAAAACCCCAAATAAAATCTGGGTCAACCTATTTTTGGGTCAGAAGTCGCCTCATTAGCAGATGGTGTGTATCTGTGTGCGTTTTGTAAGAAAGTTTAGTGGAAGAAAAACCTTATGTCACAATGAATTTATTTATTTTAAATCAATCTTTACAGTGAAATATGTCTTAAATTGACAATGGTTGGTTGTAAACAATGCAAGTTGTTTTTTTCCTGCCTTCAGCGCCAGAGCCGGCCTAAGAGCAAGCAAACCAGGCTGCTGCTTAGGGCCTCCCATAAGTGCTTAAATTCTAACATAAACTATAGATTTAAAGTCTTAAATTTGTTTATTGAGAATGTTAACACTGTTAGAATTAATTTGATGCTTTCAGCATATAGAAATATACATAGCTATATATATATATATATATATAATAAAACAAACAATTTGACATTTTATCATAAGAATTAAAGGAATTGGGAAGTTTGCTTTGCAAAAATGAAAACAAATTTTTGTTGTCAAATTCTTGTATCGTTACAATCAGGATTCTTGGTGGTGTTGTTGTTAATACATAGAGGGGCCCCACATCAACTTCTACATGAGATCCCACACCCCCTGGGCCCGGTCTTGTTCGGGCCAGTAATTTAAATTCATGCTTTTTATTTTACAAAATTACATTTAAGTTTGTGGTTGTAAGCTATGAAACTTTTTTTCAGTGCACAAAATGTATTTTACCTCAGTGATGGAAGAGAGATCCTGTTTGGAACGTTCATTCCTTGAAAGGAGGGGAAAAAAAAAAAAAGTAAATCTTAATTGGATTCACATACAAAACGCAAAGATAATATGATGCAACAAAAAAAAATCTGTCAAATTTAATATACACTTAAATTCCGCCAGAATTGCTTTTTGATGAAGACAATAAAAGTTTGGAAAACACATAAAATGATTATTTGTTAAAGTAATTGTGAAAAAAGATTTGGTATGATTGTCAAACACACAGCAGAATATGACTAAACTATGTTTTTAAACAGCAATATAACTAGATATAAAAAAAAATTATGATGGAAAATTTGGCTGTAAACAAAAGGGGACTACAGACATTACCTTGTGGTACACCTTCAATAATCTCAATAGGAAAAATGATAGATTGTCCGCCTCTAGTATCCACCAAACAACATTAATTTTTACTACAACTAAACCTAAATAAAGCCTTGTAGAAATTCAAATGTATTAGCATAAAGATGTTGAAAATGGAAGAAGAAAAGGTGATAAATAAGACAGTAAAGAGAACAACATGTAAAACAAGACTCTACACACATACTGTTCATTTTGATAGAGGAGCTCCAGCTGGTTCTTGTCCAGGTTCTCCTCTTTGGTTGGAACAGCTGCAATGTGACAGAAAAAATTATCAAAAGGTTCTCTGCATCATGTTTGCCTTCACGCAGCTAAAAAAACAAAACTATGAGTTTGTCCTGAAAGAATTCTTCTGATTTGCTTTTGTTCACACTTAAGTGACAATGTTTCGAACCACAATACAGATTACTGTAACCGAACTGAGACCTGCCTTTGAAAGCAGACTAGAGTTAATGTTTCCGTTCTGCTACAGTGTTCAATTGTGCATGCACACCTCGGCAAACGAACCGCACCTTCTAGAAAAATGAGCTTGAGTTTGGACTAAACTTTGAAAACCGATTCTAGTATTCACTCAGATTGGCTTTGCGTGACATTAAAATAAACTTGAAGATCTAAAACATCAAGAAAGGCTTCAGAATTTTATCAGGGGTGAAACGTTTTCACTGCGCCACACGCAGCGATACGGAAACGAGAACTTGGACCCACCGCTGTCCTCCTCTGGAGAGTCGCCAGTCTCCGAGTCGTCGTGGGAGTCGGCCAGGCCGGTGCAGATGAGCTGCTGCAGGACGGCCTCGGCTATGGGCATCACCATGGCGGTGGTGGACGTGTTGCTGAGCCACATGGACAGGAAGACCGTGCAGCACATGAAGCCCAGCACCAACCTGAGCCGCAAGGCAAAACTCATGTTCTGTTTTGGGGTTTTTTATTATTTAGATGAACATATGGGACTTTCCCAAATGTTTTACTTATAGGTGCAATATTATGCATTTTCCAGCCACATTGTGGCATTTTATAGCACAAGAACCATCTTCACACCTTCAGTTATTGTAAAATGCTAGGTACTCAAACATGACTTAAATGCAATTTCACTTTGTAATTTAACGGCTTGAAATTGAGCCTCTGTGTCTTTAAAAACTCCTGCTCTTTTTGAAGCTCCGCCTTCAGGAAGTTGTCACACCATGACGATTTCTGTTAACTCTGACAAGATTTTTAGCAGTGTTTCACTGAGAAGTAGCTCCTTTAATGAGCTAAACGGATCTGAAGTTCCACCAAGTGTTTGCTAATTGCTACTGGCTAGTCTGAAGGAGCTGAGTAGGGGAGGGTTGCTCTGTGAGACGGAGGCCAGAAAGCTTGGAAAGTGCAGCTCAAAAGAGGAGCATTGTCTTGAAGGCGGAGCTACGTCCAACAAGGTGTTTTGCACAGATGACTGAGAAATCCTTTAATCTCCCAGGGCAAAATCTTCAGTGATACTTTTGATTAAGGAATAACTTTATAACATTATGCAAAGCTAACAAAATGTAACATAATACTGCGCCTTTAAAAAATCTGAAGTATTACTCACATGCCAGGTTTTGCCCCTGCGATCATCACCATGCGCAGCGCGATGCGTTTGTGCAGGTTCCATTTCTCTATGGAGGCGGCCAGGCAGATGACTCCCATCAGCAGCAGAGTGGTGTCCTTGCAGTACTCTGCTGCTACCTAAACACACACAAACATAACGAGTGGTCATGTCAGTTCCCAAAGCACACACCAAATTGAATGTTGGGCCAAATTGAATTATGGCCCCAACACTGGATTTCCCTCCCTTGTTTGGGTCGTCGGTTCTTGTTATTGTGAAGTGCATATTACAGAGACTGAGGTCCAGACTAAACTCAGGGAGCAAAAACAATCTTTAATACATCTGCAGACGGAGAGTAAAAATACACTGCATTAGGCGAAAATCATTCTGCTCTAAAAAACTCAGAGTTGCAAAGATGCTTTATTCACCTTTCTCTGCTAACAGAGGCAGCGTCTCAATCTTCGAAGACCAAACAAAAGAAACAAAGGAAAACAGGCGGAACAGTTCAACCTTGTACGCTCATTCACCATCATGTCTACGGGATGCGAAAACTAAACATGATCATCATGCAGGAAAAGCCACGGGAAAAACAGCAAGTTCCCAAATAACCTGTCTGGGAAACTTCAACAGACACATCTTGTTCAATTAGTTTGTACACCCTGAAAAAACATCAACTATGCTACTGTATGATGCAAATAAAAGATTTTCTCTTTAAAGAAAAATCTACTTCACATTATGAAGGCAGCTTCGTATTGATTTGACATTAAACTAATAGGACTTCTGTACACTGAAAAAGTGAAGCATGAATTCAATTGAAGCAGAACGTGAAAGGTCATAAAGGATTATAATATATTCTCGCTGTACTTTTAATGCGGCTCTCTAAACCGCAGAAACCTCCAAGAACAAGGTCGACGTCTCCGCTTACGCTACTCCCACCATCTGCAGCCAACAGCAGGTAAGGTTTTACTCTCAACTTGAGGAGCTCAAACGTAGAGGGCAATAATAGACTTGAAATGTTGCGTAAATCTCTGTTGGCATATTTTTAGAAAATACTTGAAAGAGATTACAGTGATTCTTTACCGCTTGGACAGAGCCAGCCTGGCGTTCGGATCAACGTTTATGTTCGGCTAATGAGGATCGTGAAGAGCAAAAGAAAGCTGGTGTGAGGACCGCTGACATGATCATTTTTCAGTTAGTTAGTCAGATAAAAATGCAAAAGAAAATTCTGAAAGTGCATGAAAATGCACTGAATTGTTGGAACACAAAAAAACCTTCCACCAAAATTCTTTCTGATCTGGTTTCTTTAAGAACGCTGGAAAAACCAAACACACATTCTGCTGCACATAAATCCTAATAGTTTAATGTTAATTCAAAAGCTGCATATTCATAGGCATTACACAAAGGAAGTGCCCTTCTTTCCTTCTCCCCTAGAGTCCTTCGTTTCCCCCTTCCTAGTGTTCTTCCTTGCTTTCTAGTGTCCTTCATATTGTCTATCCTTCCTTCCTAAAGCCCCTTCTTCCTAGAGTTCTTCATAAAGTGCTTCAGTCCTTCCTTCATTTCTAGTGAAGTTGGTCGTGTTCTTCCTTCCTTCCTTGTATCCTCCCTTTCTTCCTGAAGTTCCTTCTTCCATCCTAGTGTGAGTTTCCTAACTTCCTTTCTCCCTCACTCCTCATTCCTGCCTGTGGTTTTTCTGGCCCGCCCACAATAGAAACATCTGCCATAAACTCGTGTGAATTTCTTTCAAGCTGAATGTTAAGACCTGAGACCTGTGAAAGACATTTTCTTTTCCAACAAAAGAGAAAAAAAAAGCTCCAGCTGGTGGTGTGAAGCCACCAGCTGGAGGGGCATCAGGCATCAGCCTCACCTCGCTGGACTTGAGAACGCCAAAGAGGGGGTAGAGGAATGCGGGGACCAGGGCAGCGGCCCCCAGGGGGACGGCCTCCGACACCCAGTAGACTGCCGTCACCATCAACACATACGCACAGCACGCTTCCTGTGAACCAAAAAACATTAAACCCATTAGATCCACAGAGACGGGAGCAAAAACAGTCATTGTAATATTCAGCAAGGCGAAGAGTGGAGAAATCAGAGCTCCTCATCCGCGCTGAAGATTATTCTGAATTATGATTTCATTCTAATATTATAACACCTGAAGTAAATGCTATATTTAGTATCTAGTGTTGAACATGTGCAGTCACATGCTTTGTGAACTGGGTAAATTAAATCACCTGTCAGGAACAAGGCAACTTTTGAAATGTTCAGTACAGAAATCGGATCACGCTAATGCTCGACAGCACTTGGATTCAATTTTGCTGTGAAGAAACACGTTTCTGTTACTTTCTGTTAGTAAAGGAGATCTGTTACTCGTTTGGTTTTATCACGGCCCATAATGTGCAATATTTACAAAGAGTCAACTGAACCAAACAGAACTGAGACGATCACTCGGTGGAAACAGGAAGTAAGAGCATCTTCAGTTTGGACAAACCTGTTAAGACTCCTGGCGAGAAACGGAAAAAAGAAATAAATTCAACAACTAGGAGTCTAGACAATGTATCATAAGATACGCATCATGTTTCTAAAAAAAATATATGTTTATATATAAATAAAATTCTAATATGGATTTATTTTCTTCCAAGTTTCACACATTTATACTGTAAATGTTCCCGGCCAGCACATCCATTTTTAAAAGGATTAAATTCACCGAGTTCGCCATAAACTTATTGGACACATTTCTGAAAAGGTCAGGTCAGGCTGTGGATATGCAACCTGGGAAGTAGACAAAAAAAAAACAAAACAGAAGGACACAAGGAAGGAGGAAAAAAACAAACAAAATGAAGGAAGGAGTGACTTGAATACTAAAGGACAAAAGGAAGGAGTATAACTCTGAGAGAAAGGGTGTTGAAATAAAGGTAAACAAAAAAAATTATATTTTCATGCTCTAAGGTTTCTTTCCACACTTTTGTTTTATTTATTTTCATTTTCTAGATCTAGAAAACGATCAACTCAAATTCCAGACATTCAGACAGCAAAGGCAGCAACAATCACTCTTAAACCCAAAACATCTGTACGCCCCGATCGACTGCAGGGCTCCAACCGACTGTCCAGACGGCAAACAGCCACTTCCTTTACAGCACTTTCAAAACCCACCATAAGCAAGCTGCAGTCAGTCTGACGTCCTTTAGTTTTCCACGTGTTTCACTTCAGACCTTCTCTGAGCCGCCGCGGCGCGGCGTGGTGCCGCACCGCGCAGACTGCGCATTAACCATCAACACCGTCAAGGATTAGGATAATGGGAGCTTGTTCTGAGATTTCAGGGAGCTTTTCAACAACCACCCATTATCAGAGAGTTCTGTTCTTTTAAAGTATTTATGAAGCGTGTTAAAAAACATCTGGTAAGCCCCATTAGCTGTTAAAAATGGCTATAATCTGACCGTTAATGTTTGGGAAATTAGCCAAAGTCAGGCGGAGGTTTCTTTCACCGCTCTTCGCTTCATTCATTGATACGCTAAATAAATAATAATAAAACATTGTTACAGTTCACAACATTTTTCATTTCTAGAGGATCATGTGAAACCAAATCCACTTCTTCATACCGACACGCTTGAATGCATTTTATTAGGATTTAGATTCTAGAGTGCTATGTGATTATGAACTGGAACATGGTTTTCAGAAACAAATAGCTGAAAAGTGTCATAAACTTGTTTCCAACCCTAAAAAACAACTTCTTTTTTACGCTGTTGTTTGTTTTAAAGTATTACAATAAGGGGGCTAAACACAAACAAATGCCACACTTTTCAGATTTTATAGCAAAAAATGCATATCACGTCACTCCTCTTCACTAACGTCAACCAGGCCCGCAAACGCGGTCAACCCGACGGGATGACTGTCGATGAGTTTCCGAGCCATCTGCAGAGCCCGGGAGTCTAAAATCTGTCCTGGGGATTTTTAGCTTCAAAAGAGCTCAGATGACCTCCGTCATTCCGGGCGCTAAGAACAAAACAAGGAGATTGGAGCTCAGAAGCGTCCTCGCACGCAAACGTGCAACTAAACTGCAAATCACTTCTAACCGCAGCCCAGATTTACAGAGACTTTGTTTTTGGCAGCGCTCCTCTCTGTTGTTTGAGTCTTGACACGTGAATCACGGAAAAAAGGAAGATGCCACAAAATACAAAAATAAATAAATAAATAAAAGCAGTCACTGATGATCGATTATTGGCCCCAATTACTGATCTACGATCTTCTATTGTCATTTAGTTGATCTGCTTTACTGTCACAAGTTGGAAGCTGGAGCCCTTTGTTCCTGACTCATCTCAATATAAAGTCTGATTATGGCAAAGGTCAGATACAGGTCAACGAATGAAAAAGTCGCTTTCAGCTTGAATGTAATTTCATCGGAAAACATGAGACGTTCTTGGTCCCGTGGAGATAAAGATAAATTCATCAATACAATTTTCCTTAAAGCAAACTTTCCGAACAGGACATGATTTGTAGTTGCGATTTTTACACATGGCTGAAGATTACATATGTCTTGTTGGTCTATTAAGTAATCTGTCATCACACCGTGAAATATCATTTCTAGTTCTGCTATAATAAAAAACAATCGACTCTTTATTCTGTTAAAAGCGTTGCATACATAAAATGATAAAATGATTTTAAAGAAAAAGAGGCCGTTGTGTTGGGAAATTCTGCTGCATAGAGCCAGAAAGTTTCATTCCCAGGTGTTAAATTGATCTTTAAATACATATTAAGAACCGGCAAGATGGTGACGTCATGGAAAAAGTGACGTACCCCAACCCGACACGGCCAGACGCTGTGACTCCCAAAACGTTGATCCCGATATGCATGACCTTTTCAAAGCCAAGACTTCATTTCATCTTCCATGAAATCCTCGAGCTTCCTCACATTGATCACACTGTTCAACCCGGCAGACAGAAAGCAGCTAGAAATGGTTTCCCTGCTAATGAAACCAGTTTTTTGAAGAATGGATTGGAATGCAACCGATAAGCTTTTGGAATGGGTGGAGGGTGTTCTCCAAAAACCAAACCAATCCCATCTGAACGTCTCATTGATCATCCGTTGACAGGATGACAGCTGGCTGATGAGGAGATTGGAACAGAGGCAAACGCGCATTGGCTTAAAGACCTGCGAGTGATGAAATCAATGATGGACTGTTTCAGTCTGGGGGCAAAACCAGATAAGAAGATGCCTGACAAAAGATAGCAGGCAAGCTCACATTGAAAGGCCAATACAAACACTTAAGATATCACTGACACTGGACTTTTGAGATAAGAAGTAGTGGAGGTAGTTTTTAATCTTCATTTTAATCTTTTTAATTTTAATCTTTTTAATCTTCCTTTGTTCAATGAAATACTGCAGCCATCCACTCTGATGTTTTCACATTTTTAGTCCTAGACTGGAGAAAGCTCAGAGAGCGCAGACATGCCAATAAAAAAGCAAAGTAGACAATCCACACAAATGTTACCTGGTGTTACACCAAACTGAAAACCCTAATTCAGGGAATCAACACTATTCTGGATTTAACAAACAAACAAACAAAACATATTCATATTTTCCTCCTTTTTAAGAGAATTGTCATTATGAAATCTGTGGGACATTTTTTTTTTTTACGGTACTATTAAACCTGATTTATGCTTTGACCACGCTGCACACCTCTGAAACTTTGGAAACACGGACGGTTCTGTGCGGGAAAACATGGCGGACGAGCAACAGACGCCACAAACGCTGAAGTTGTGGTTTTCAAGATGGACTGAACTTCTGTTTCCGAGTATTTCAACCCGAAATACTCGGATCACACTTGAACGGGTTTATTCTAGAACATCTCATTTTTATGTTTTAGGAAACTAAGGAGAGAATGTGAACGATGCCATGTTGGCATTTGGACCAGTCAGGTTGTACTCCACAAACTGGAGTGGTAAAACCTAAACTGCATTATTTTACACTAATAACAAAGCCTTAAAAAAGTTTGTGATTTACAAAACTTTTGTGAAAACAACAAATAAATAATAATAAACTGGACTTTTACAAAAAAAAAATACTGGTAGGTCATTTTCTCAACACTAATGATGTTTATCATCCTATTCTATGAGAAATATATATCATCCCTATCTTTATTAAACTTTAAATATTAATATTAAATGCTTACATTAAAGATAAGCAGGAAATAACTAATTTCTAACATCTGATGACACAAAATTCAAGCAGCAGGAGCTTGTTCTTTGATTCTGTGTCTGTTTGACCTTCCCTGCCTGTGTCCTACAGATGTTCTGTTCTTCTGCAGCTGGACACAGTACCACTCCAAACACACACTCAGATACACTCAAACACACTCACACAGACGCACACACACACACACACACACACACACACACACACACACACACACACACAGAGGAAGGATCGTTCTGAACCATTGTCACATTCCTGACGCAGTCTGAGGTCCCCCCTGTCGTAACGGAGCCATGTGGGGCCAAAATCCAGCATGGAGGTGGGTTGATTATGTAACTTAATTGCACGGATTGTTTTTTTTTTCTCCCCCTTTGTTATGAAGGTGTTGGGGGTTTTTACATTCATCTAACGAGGGGAGAAAAATCTTATGTTAAGAAGAAACCAGTTTTAACTTTAGCAGTCCCTTAAAAATATCAATAAACCATTTTATAAATAAGTACATCGCAACTAAAAACGCTCTTGTTTCAGAGTTGGCTTTGACATGTAATCAATTACAAATTGAATGATTATTGGCTGAAAGTGCTGTAAATGTACCTACATATTAAAAATGTTTCATTTGTATTGTTGTGGCACTTGACTTAATGTAGTTTTTGATAGTTGATTCTATGTTGCATGACTTTGTGTTTATTATGTAAAGCACTTTGAAATGCCTTGCTGCTGAAATGGGCGACACAAATAAAATTTGATTGATTGATAAAGGCCATTTTCAACAGACAGATTAAATAACTGTCTTTTATAAACATCTACATCAGATCCACATATAAAAGATCCAGAGCAACACACAACATCTCCTCAACAAAGTCCAGTTCAAATCCAATGAAATGCACTCTAACAAAATCCAGATCTAACACAGTGCAGTACATCAAGTGTCAGTAATGTATGGAAAAGTTTGTCTGAACTCTGGTTAATGTTATCAGAAATTCCCTCTGATTGAATTTCGCGTCGTTTCAGATAAACCAGGAAACGACTTTCACGACAGCGAGGAGTTTAACTGCTCCAAACGGCCTGCAGTAGGAGTCAGCGTCGGTCAGGACTCCTGGAATCGACCGTTTTTAACCGAACCAGATCCAACTCCTCTGGAACAAAGTCTGAAAATCTGTCAGGGATGTTTCATCCGCAGCAACGCAATTATTATTATCGTTGTTTAAAGACAAGATAAAGCAAATATTTGCCTAAATAAGCTCAAGTTTCAGCTCGCAACTGATCTGTATCTCATCAGCATGTGGCGATGTCTCCCCTCAACACACACAGACACACACACACACACACACACACACACACACACACACACACACAACTCATCAGCTGAGGAGTGGGACAAACAGAGGCACAGTGTGCCTTTTGATTGATTCTCTCTCTCTCTCTCACACACACATACACACGCGCGCGCACACACACACACAAACACACACACTCAGAGAAACGGAGCTCCCATCAGGACTGTGGAGCCATGTGCAGCCAGCAGGAGGAACACACACAGGCAGCAGCAGGTAGTTATCAAATCCTAGATTATGGATTTATTGAGACTTTTAATAACCTAAACCAGCTTAAACTGAATTCCACAGGAATTTCCAAAATGTTACATTCCTCAACTGTAATGTTCTCAGGAGTTACTAACTCTGATCGGTCATTCAGTGTATATATATTAAACGTCCATCCACATATGGACATGAATAAAATCACCATTTTTTTTCCATTCCAGAAGATGTTTTAGGCAAAAAAAGAAAAAAGAAAGAAAGAATTTTGGCACAAAATGACTTATGCCACTATTTTAGGAAGGAAACAATAAGCAAACGCAGGCTTTGATGTTTTGTTTGGAGGCTTTTGAGGGTAAAAGCGGCGTGTGGAGCCGTTACTCACGCTGGTGGGGTGGACCAGCGGCAGCGGCAGCAACGACAGCGGGATGAACACCACCACGATCAGCTTCCTGGCCCTCCACAGCTTCCTGAACACGTCCATCCTGGCTGCGGCCTCCAGCCTCATGGGGCACGCGGAGCTCTGGGTCGGCGGGAACCGTGCGTCGAGGGAGCCACCGGCCGGCCGACGGGGTTGAGCCTGGGTCCGCCTGAGGGAGCGCAGAGTTCTGGTTCGGCTGTGCGCATTTACGCACTAAGAACCCAGGCGGCCCTGCGTGTTTCCACGGTGAGGTGAGGCGGGAGGAGAGGACCAGTCCAGTTGCTCCAGGTTTCCCTCCTCGGTGTCTGGCGCTCAGGTGAAGCTGCGGGAGTTTTTATCGGGCTGCATAGGTATGCTAATTAGCCTCCATGTTGCCCCACCCTCATTGGCTGAGTCCTCACCAATCAGGGTGACTGGAAAGGTTTGATGAAGGCATCAGATTAATTAGGCTGATGCTACTTTAGGATTAACATTATTTTTTGTGTGTTTTTTTTTTTGTACAATTATAACTTAAAGGGAAATGTTACGTATGACTCGTGTTTTTTTTTTTCCTCTGTCATTTTAATATTGTTATAACTTTGTGACTTTTTACTGCAGAGCAGATCCACTTTCCTGAATACAGCAAGATTTTTTTTAATAGAAAGTTCTTGTTTTATATTCATATTTGGATGGACATTTAATATATACACTGTTTTTGTTGCTGAAAGGAATCTAAAGTCATTTTAATAACCAACAAAATATAAGAACGAAAAAACTTAAAAGTTAAAAATAGTTAGTAAACCAGATGTATCTTATGTTGAAACCTCCTAAACCCACTTACAATAATTTGTTGTTTTCTCCTGTTTTCATTCAATATTACATGTCACATTTATTGCTGGGCAGCTAAAAAATAATTTATACCGAAATGATTTTGTTTTTTTGTTTTTTTTGCATTTTCAAAGACACACCATTTGAACTTGCAGTTGAAGAGGTTTGGACACCGCTGACTAAGGTTGTTGCACTTTTACAAGATAAGTTTTGAAGTCCAAAGTGGCTTTAAGCTTTGATGCAGAACTGAGAAGTTCATCAGATTATGAGATGTGTTGACAGTTTTAGCACTATACATTGGGCAACAACCCCCCACCCCCCTAAAAAAAACCAGTAGATCTTTGATTACGATACAGATAGTCCAAGAAATCTGAGAACTGAAATTAATCCTTCGCTAGAACGAAAATACAGCTACATCTAAGATTTGATGCTGTTTTGATGTAGAGTACCTTGGCTATACAGTGGCATCTGTGTTTGATGGATGGTCAAAATAAATGTAATAAAGTTATTTCATTGAAAAACAGTCGTACTATCAGAAATTCTGCAAGAGTCGTAAGTTCAGTGTTTTCACGTTCAATGTTGACGTCAAGAGCCCACATTTAAAGAACGTGGGCTCCAGTCACATACGTAATCATTTTTACTACATGACATTAGGTTTTATTTTTTTTAAAAAAGAAACTACATGAATCAGCAGGTATAAAGTGATGCATTGAAGGTTTAATTCGTCCCCAAGACCAGTAACTCTGTGTTGTATAACTTCACAGCATTTTTTATAAGCAGGCTATTGGTAAATTCATAACAATCCTAAAATAATACAACTCACATGATTTGGCATTTTATTGCACAGTACAATATTTGTGAAACAAAAAATACCGAAAATAAAAATCTTTGGCCACTTCCCAAAAATTGCCGCCCTGAGCTACGGCCCCTGTCAGCCCTTTGTAAAGTCTGGCCCAGGTTGCAGGCAGCAGAGCAAAGGAAGCAGTCAGGATGGATGGGAAAATGAATGGAGGTAAATGCTGAGTTTGTTCTATTTTGATTTGACCGATTGATAAGTTTTCTGTTGCTTTGAAATTCATCTGCTAATAGCCGATGAATTCCTAATGGCAACAAACATCTAAATAACGCATTTTTAAAAATAAGAAAAATACACATAATATATAACCACGGGAGCAGAAAATCTATTCTGACCTATTTTGCAAAACCAGAGAGAAATCTAGCGCCTCAAAATGCAGGATTTTAGCCAGTGGAACAGTACTGCCCTCTGGTGGATAAACAGCGTCAGTGCAAGAAAGTATGTTTTTTCCAGACAACTTCCCAGTTTAATGTTCCTGCTGGCAGTTAAAAACTTTCATCAAATTCATCTAAACAAAAATTTGCTTTGCTATTTATTTATTTATCTTCTGGACTATTGGTGCTCTCGGAAAGTTAGTTTTACTTCCAGTTTTGACTTTTGAAAACACGGAGAGAAGGACGTGAATATGGATATTCAAAGTCATCCCAAATTTCTTTCTTTCTCCAAACGATTAGACATTTGTTTGTGAACTTTTAAGTTCGTGTGTTACAGGTTACATTTCAAATAACTAAAGCAAATTCACATCTAGAGACGAGGAATGGAACTACAGATGTTGCATTCCTCGACTCAACCCTAACCTGAACCTGATACTGTCAGAAGTGATTTACTAGTAAAAGGTAGATTAGACGTTTTAGTCTAGAAAGGAACAAGAGGAGAGGTAAGAAAATTCCCCCGGTCTTCTTCTACATGTGTTATCCCACGCCAGGCTGTCTAGGTCTAATCTGATGCAGCTGATTGCCTCCCAAATCAATGTCAAAGCTGCATGGAGTCACTCAAAGCCAGGATCTTCACCCAAATCCTCAGACGACAGATTAACAGTTCTGTGTTTGGTTTTCAAGACGTTAGCGATTACAACAGCAGCCTCTGGTTCCCAAATCGTCTTCCATTTCTCCATCATAAGTGTCTCTTCACAAGCATTTCTGAAGAGAGATGGATCAAGCGATCAGAGTGATAAAAGAGTAAAGCATTAAACTCCGATGCATCAATCGATCGTTGGGACAGCCTGACTTTTATTATGTTTGTGATCAACAAACAGCACTCAAGAACATCTAAAGTGGTATTGTTTTGTTGAGGATACTTTCCCAGGATCTCCTCCAATTTGCATCAGGCCTTCCAATCCTTTCCATCATCCTGACCTCATCATCCTGAGGCTTTGTCGCAGCGGGAGTCGCAGTCAGCCGCTTTAGACCCAGGCGGTGTGCAGAAAACAAGTTTTTAAGGCTATATTCAATCAGAGGAGATTTTTTTTCCTGTCTACAGACCCCAGCTGTGAAACAGCAAGACTCCGAGATTTCCTTAATGTTCCTGTAATTAAAGGCTTAGTGAGAGTAATGGGTGGACTTGGTTTGACCTGACGTTGAGGCAGATTTGAGCAAGGAAGTCTCGATCGGGCATGGAATCGAGATGAAGCTGGAAATAACTCAACTTTTCTGGCATTAATCCCAAAGATTCAAAAGCTCTTAACAATTTAACGCATGATTAATCCTGGGATTATTATCTCAGAAAATGTTTTCACTACCAAGGCAGAAAGGAATCTATTGGCGGAACAACATGGACATTCATCACATTGAATGAACCTTGACCTGTTCAAGGTTTAGCAATGCCGAATCGTCCTCAGGGGTGAATCTTTTTACCAAACACTTTTTCATCACCCCAAAATCAAGAACATGTCTTTAAAAGGACAGTTGGCTTAAATATAACCAGAAAAGACTTTGAAAATAAACTCAGAAATGCATTGTGTATTTAATACACTCGACTTAATACCAGTTCAACGGAGCACTGAGTAAATCGAGAAAGGTGTTGATGGAGCTCAGTTGTACCCAAAGTTGTATTCCAGGTTTACTTTGAAATAAGGTACTGCTAACTTTGCGAGGCATTATTTTCAGTTCTCTATTCTGACTCTACTTTCCAAATTCTAACGTGTAAATATTTTTTACTTATTGTCAAAACTATAGTTTTCTGATTTGCATGAAGTAGAATCGAAGGTGATCATCTGCAAAGAAAAACGCTTTTCTGGGAAAAATTAGCAGACAGGTTTTTGTTTTTTTTAAATATTAAGTTCAGATGAAAATGAACATTGGATTTGAACTTTATGGTGTCATAGAGGAAATAAAGAACAAAAATCTCTCCTTAGTTTTAAAGAGCAAGCATGCTACCAACGCTAATACAAATGGCAAAGGTTTGAATACTCCAATAGATGACAACTCTTTGCCCAGAGATGAGAAAAGTTGTATTTCCATACTAGATACTAGATAATAAAAGCATTGTTTTTGTTGTTGTTTTTTTCAAAATAAAAAACTTATTATAGTCTCTAAGAAACTTATTCTGCTAGTAGGTGACCATGTCCTTTTTATTCAGTTTTATGTTGAGTTATTTCAATACTGATTCAATAAGAAATGAAAATACACACTTAATGTTTATTCAGCCTTAGCAACAAAACTAAATCCAAAGCTACCTCAAATCCTCCACTTTCTTCATAAACACAAGCAGAAAGAAGCTTGCAGACAGATTAGCAGAATATCAAACACGTGAGCACACGCCATTAGTGCAGTCAGTGGGTTTTTGGATTATATAACGGCATTCAACAGGTTCTAAGATATCACACAGAGGTTTAGGCTGATAGTGTCAGAGTAGCAGATTGCTGTTGTGAACATCCAGTCAGAAAAACTGCTAATATTAGTCATTCTGGCTCCTCTGTACAAACGTATCGCTTTACTGTTCATTGTGACAGATTGAGTGTTTTTCTTCACCTGGTCAGTAAGATGACTTTTTGAGTCATCTTCTTTTTCTGATTTACATCGATGTTTGTACTTGATGTTTAAACAAAGGTGTGTAGAATTATTCTATCCATGAGGGATGCAGTGATAGGTGTCATGGCTGATAGACAAGAATGTTACCAACTTTTAATGTGACACACAGACTCACATCTGCTATCAATTATATTTATTCAGAGTATTCCCATAGTTATGTGGGCTTTCGCTTGCCGTGGGGTTACAATGGAGCAACAAAGGGAACAAAAATATTAAGTACAGGAGGGAGCCTCTTATTTCAACAAATTCTTAATACAAATTCTTCATAAAATTCTTCCACAATTGTGTGAAAAAAATGTGTCCAAAAACAACAACAAAAAGAGAAAACAATGCTTTACCTGAAATATGACAGTGGCAGGATCAGGATCTGGGGTTACTTTTATTCTGAAGGAGTTCGGTAGATGAAATCATGAGCAGTTCTAAACACCAATCAGCTTTGACCCTTGACCTTCTGCTGTCTAATAGGAACCTGGAGATGAGGAGA